TGACTGATAGCAAGTAGACGAAGGGAGCGGCGCGGGCCTCGCTTAGGTCATGTATCGCATCACCGCGCGGAGCGCGTACAGCAGCTCCGCTTGCATACGTGCCTCCAGGATCATTAGGTTTACGTGGACCTGGAAGAAAGTAGAGAACAATGTTAGAATTCAGGAAAACAAATTGTGAAAGGAATTGTGAAATTCGACTTTTATTTCTATCCAAATAAAGCAAATCAACGAAAGAAAACAGTGTATACAAGGTGTCCCGTTCTAATCTATAAATGTGATTGTCTTCGCAGCTATTTGTTATTTAAAACTATTTTTCTAAATTTAATCGTGTAATTTTGTTTATCAATCGATACAAAGGGTCATTCTCTGCGAAAAAGTGTTAACCTGTCTACATAAAAAATACATCAAAAGAAAAAAAAGTCGAATGTAAGACAATTTTTAAATAACGAACAATTGAGGAAATAATTGCGTCTATAGATTCAAATACGACACCTTATATAAGTGCACACGTGTGTAATTTCTTCTCTTTTCATAACAAAGTTTTTACTTTCACCATTGATCATAATTTGCCGGTTGATTGTATCGAAAAATGGCTCAGAGTGCAAAAGTTTAATATTCTTCCGTGTTACGCTTTCTTCGGTTTCGACTCACGAGATTTTCTGTACACGTGAAACTAAAAAACAAGTGTAAATATGGAAGCGAGTCGTGCGTAAACAAGGTCGTAGGTATTTGCTTTCCAGTTACGTATATTCTAGTTCTTTGTCGGTACATGCTGCGAGTCTTACTTCTACGTAACGCGCGATACTCCGTTCTCAAACTGCACAAATTTTCATTTAACATTCTACAAGTAAGAAATTACTTCCGCTTAGAATCAATGAAAATTCACAATTCAATGGATCTCTAATCAGATGAATTAGAGAAGATCAAGAAATTGGGCCAAGAACAGAACAAGATCTCTTTTAGTTTAAGTTTCAGAAACAGATGACAAATTTAAAATACTTAACACGTTGCTGCTTGAACACTTAAAACCCCTCGACTCGCGATTTCCTTCACAATTACACTAATCAATCCTAACTCATTGTTAACAATTCAATGGAAGAAAATGAACTTCTGAGTTCTTTGTTAATTCCAAAGGTTAAGCATTGATAATTAGATTATGAAAATTCATGCAACATGCTGACTCGTCGGTTTAATGTAACATTGAATCCCGACTGAAGATTTCATACATTTCTAGCAATTTTGTATCTCGATGTAATAAAGTATTTAAACAAAACAAAATCTACATGTTGCTTGAAATATAATAGAACCCTCACTAGAATAAACAATTTTTGTCAGCTTCTAATTTTAATAAATTAATTCATAAACATGCGTATTTGTACACAAATCTATGTTTTAGTTATGATCTACATGTGAATTACAGGACAACGAACATTCTGAAATTAATTTTATAAAAGGAAACCAACTAATATTTCAATAGTATCTTTTTTGATACTCTTCAAAAGAAGTTAACACCAACCTTTTCACTGTGCTTGAATTCCCTCATGACACGATCGTAATCCCTTTTAGTTACACGCTCTGGATAGCAAACGGCGCTCTTGATGAACGTCTTCAGGCTTCTCTCGAGGAGCTGATTCACCTCGTTGTAATCGTAATCATCATGTCTGATGCCGAACATGCACTGAATGTAGTTCCAAATGGCCCGTCTGAAACGCGACGTGTCCACTTTGCTGTGCGTGCCCATCGTGTAGTACGTCAGGTTGTAGGCGGTCTTGAACTTGTCGTCAAGGAGGTAGCCGACGTCGTTGTAGAGTCGGTTGACGAGCGAGTAACCGTGATCGTCCCAGGAATAGTCCTGCACGCGGAACGTGGGTATGTCGTTCAGTTGACCGCGCTACAATAAAGAGAAATCGTATATATATATAACATTTTGCAGATCGTCTCAGATTACTTCAAACATTTTCGTTTCCCCTTTTCCGTACTTGCTATGCGTTCAACGCTGCATCCAGGATAATGAAAATGATTACACAATAGGATTATGTGGATATTTAAATTACTAAAATCACAAAGATACCTTTTTAAACCATAACTGACTTAAAACGAAGTTCCCATATTTAATATTAGAAATGTAATATTCGTAACTGCAAAATAGTCGTTTCGTTTTCAATTAATGCTAACTGTAGAATACAGTAAGATAAACGTGTAACATTCTTTTTTCTATTCGAAATGATAAAGTAGCTCTTGTGATCACGGTCACGACGTGGATCTTAAGGTGTGTTGATCTTAAGGCGAACTTGAGGCTCGATTCCATGAGACGCATAGGCGCGTGTCATCGTGTCGTAAATATTCATGGTATCGCGCTGAGAACGACGATCGAACCGACAAACTTAAATATTCATCGGTGGGCCTCGTGTTGCCTTGAAATCTACTTTCGAATCGGGTTCGTAAAAACGATACAAAAACATTGGCAATCTTCTGCCCTGTGTCCTAAACTGTCCCGATCAAACGGGTTTCAAAGAAATCCTAATTCTGTCATCTGAGTTTCTCTTTTAAAATTTTTAAAGAAAAGAAACTAAAGAGATTTAACAAATTTCCTGGTCTGAATGTTCTAAGTAAATGGTGTGAAATATATTCAATATTATATAATATCGTATATGAGGAAATTGTGCTGATCAAGGTCGAAATGTGTTTTAACTTTGAAGTAATGATGTAACACCTTTTTATCGTTCTACGTAATCTGATATTACCGAAAGCAATACATATCTTGGGAAATGTAATTTAACCGTTATGTCAATAATTAACATTTTTTACGATATTCAATAACTGACATAGTGGTACACTTCAAACATTACTGCATAGATAAATTAAACACACTACAATAATTTCAACTTTGACTATTTTGTTCCATATTACACCTTATTATAAATGATATTATAACACCCTATTATAAGAACAATTAAAAATGACATTAAAAACATAAAAAGTGTTTATCGAAATATATAAATTCCCGTCTGATATTCGATTTTCCATTCTAAACACTACATAAATACTATACAAGTATAATATAAATAAATTCCAAATCTTCATATCTAAAACCTTCAGCATAAATCACCAAGTTACTTCATAAGACATTCCATAATATGATAAAAGAGAACAAATTAAAGAAAGGCTATAATAGTGTTCAAAATACTAATTAACATTAATTCATTTAAAATTCTCCGTTCTCCATTCACTCGACATTAAATCAATTTCTATATTATTCGATTAATCAATTTTTGTCTTTCCTTTTGTTTCCAATAAGAAACACTGATCGTCTAACTCGTTTACCTTTATATGATAACTAATTATTAGACTGGTTACGGTAGGTATAGGTGTACATAAAGTGTCGGTACGTTTAGTGTTAATCAAAGGGTTGACAGTTACCTTGGCGAAGTCCTGGTAGATGAAGGTGGGATCTTCGATGAAGTGTCCGATGTCGGAATCGAGGACCGAACTACTCCTCTGTGGTGCCGCTGCGAGCTCCGCTGATTGTGTTTCCACGGTCTCGAATCTTTTCGACAATTCTTCCTGGGTGATCTGATAGGATTCAGACTTTTCGGAGAGGCGCTTCATGCGCTCCATCAGCGCTTCAACGCCAACCTCCTGCTCGCCGACTATACTTGGCGACGATGGCGGCGACGGCATATTTTCTGCACAGATTCGAAACGGTATCTCGTTATCGCGATGGTCAATATCAAATTAATCTTGCGTCTAGAGTGCAGTTTTGTAAATCCGCTGTTCGAAACGTGGAACCGTTCGTTATAAATCATTGATCGACGTTTCGACTTAGCATCGGAAGTTAAGACAAACGGACTTCGAACTTTCGTAAGCCACGAATAATTTATTTGATAAACAGCAAAAATGGATTGGACACTCTGAACGATTATAACTGAATACAAACTCTAATTTATTTGAACTTTACATTTACAGAAGTTAGATATTTTTTTATTTCCAATGAAAGAATTCGCAAACTTAATTATCCATCTTTTCACTGTATTCATGTTTTATCATTGTATTCATTCATCAACGAGGAGATTATTTAGGAGGATAGGTGAATATTAAAAATAACTTTCTTCCGAAATTGAGAAATCGCAATTTTTCATAGTGCAATTTTCTTGCATCCTGCAGGTTTAACGAAAGTCGATTTCTTCGATAAAACGTGCATATTCATGTTTACTTCCGTACAAAGAATTGTTATTTTATGCGATCAATACCGCAGTCAACGTACTAAATTTCTGTTCGGGACAGGGTTCATAACTTACCAGTCTTGCCGTCGCCGTTGGGAATCTTCTTGGGACTACTGGAAAGCTTGTCTTTGGCAGTTGGTAGGTTATTGCTATTATCCTGGACGTTCTCTTTGTAATGATGTCCAGCGACGTTGTCCAGCTCCTCATTGATTCCGCAGGAAAAGACGAAAGACGAAAGGGAGTGAAAGTGGGCCAAAAGGACTATCGCGTGAACCACTTCCGCTAAGGACCAACTGTCTGCGCCCTTAGTCAGTTTCTACGGACAGAAGATTCTCTTTAATTCATTCGGAAAATTATGATCAAGATATAACGGAAGTTCATAGAAAAAATTCTATTGCTAACAAATTCCCGTTAGTTGGAATAACTCACCTCTATGTGCGTTTTGTTCAGTAACCACGGCCTGTGGGCTAAAATCTTGTTAATCTCATAGAGATCTTGCAACTTTCCTGGAATTGATTTCAGGCCTCTTAGCCATGATGGGTCGCCTCCCTGGAGGATGAACTCTCCTTTTTGCAAGTTTATAAGATAACTGCACTGATGCCTGCCTGCGGCCTGGAAAAGACAAGAACACCATTTACCTAGTTCTTGTTGAATCACTTTACTTGACTACTCACTAAGAACTAACTTGTGTAATATAACATAATTATTTCAATTATTCTTCGTCTATTTGATTTTGAAATTCGTGCTTAGTAATAGTCTTGAACAAAATATTAGTATATTATACTATTATAATATTACATATTATAATATTACATTGCGTAATGTAAAAGAGAATGGCAAGTGGAAGAACTTTTTTAACTTTTAGCTTGAAATCGCGTGTAAGAGATGTTATTGCAAACTAAATGGTTAATAATGTCACAGAGAACGCGAGCTAAATATAAATATAAATACGAATCTTAACGAGATCGTCATAATTTAAGCAAAACCAAAATTCAAGCGATAAACTTTACGAAATTTTAACTTATGCATGAATATCATTAACAGTTTTTGTATATCAATATTAATTGCTTTTAGAAAATTTCTATCATGATCCTGACCGAAATTTCTACGAAGCTTTTTTGATATACCATGTGTTCACTAATAGAAACTAAACCTAACTAAATTTGCTTAACAACCTCTTAGTCTCAATCAAATGAAAGCTCTTGGTATCACATTTACCTCGTCCTTCTCTTTGAGTGCTAGAAGTGTCTAAAGCTCTTAGATATATTCTCCACGGTATCGCATTACTTTGAGGACATATCACTTTCAAAATTGTCTACGTGACATTAATTCGTAGACATCTAGAACACGGTTAGACAAGTTAATGGATAATGTTTCCCGTTCCAACTTTCATTAAATCATCATTTAAAATTTACTATAATACTTTAAAGTAAATTAAAAAATTTCAATGAAAATCTCATTTCATACTTTTTAATCAAAAGTATTTATCAATACATTATTATAACAATCACAATTCCATTTTCTTCCACATCTGATTCCATTAAAATACTTATCAAGAACAATACCAATCAAATCTACAGCCTACATCAATATATAATTACAACAACAATTTCAATTCAATTCTCTTACATTCACTTCCACTTCAAAGCACTCATGACCAAGAAACCTTCTCAACGAAACCAACAATTAACTCTAAAACCCTAAAATCCATTACTTCGAAAAAGAAATGAACAAAAATCCATCTGGCCATGGGATCATGAGAAGAAATCTCAGCAAATATCGAGTGCCGGACTTTCATGAGCAAACTACGGCGTCGGACGAGCAATCTTTCGACAAGATCACGAAAGAAAAAAGTGTCTTCGAGAGGACAAAGGTAGGAGACGCAGGAGGAGAGAAAGAAGATGAAAGGGTGCAAAGACAAATTGTCGACGACGCGACGTATCGAGGCACGAAATTGAGCAAAGGCGAGTCGATCGTGTGCATCGCAGCTACGATGTGTTCCGAGCCGTCCAATTTTCGACGCGACGTCGAAAAAAACCGCTCCATGGAAACGAGCTGCACAGATGAGACGAAGAACATCGAAATTAATCGCAGGAGGGCGAATCGCGAGCTAAAAGAGTTGGCGAACGGCGAAACTTAGGTGGGGAGGGATAATGGAGGCCGGGATACATTGGAGCTCGATCTTCTCTTAATGGTTTGTTTTGATCGCACCGGAATTACATCAGAAATTCAAATGCCTGGGGACTTCTATCAAGAACGGAGGCATAGAGGTGGACGAACGGGACGTCGGCGGGGGCAAGAGACGCGCGGACCAGCGCGTAAACAAGACACGTGTTTACCATGCGGCCGGTGCGATCGATCACCGCTCAAGAATTAAGCGATAAGAATTATTTGCGAAATTCGAGCGAGACGATTTTGCGGTTTCTGTTTTCCCTCCAAATTGAAAAATTGTTGGAGAATATTGTTGTGGTTGTAGAACATGGTTCAATGTATGATTCTTACGAGGAATATTTTTGTTGTGCAACTTTTTACATACGAAGTAAGAGTGAAATAATTTACTACGAGGCAACGTAAGGACGTTTTAATATAAGAAAGTGCTATATTGATTAAACTGCTTTTTAAAAAATTGAATGCAATTTACAATTCATATAAAAAAAACTGCGAAATTCAAACGTGGAGAAAATTTTGCAGTGAACAGTCTTCATCGAATTGGAAAAACATATCGAAGAGAAACAAAGAAAACGGTGGGCCATAAAAGAAAATACGGTTCGATTTATACTTCTTGAAAGCGAGGCGTTCTTATCTCACGACTTTCTTAGCAATAAGAATAGAACATGTCGATACACTATGAAAATTTAATTTTAAATTAGTTAACGTCTGATAGACACTAACAAGCATCAATATTAGTTATTTTTTTCCAACTCGAAACGAGATATTCCTGTGATTGTTTCTTGTTATCAACATGTAACCTTCATAACAAGTATATTTTTACAGCAAATATCCTTCATTTCCTTCTAGTAAATTATTAATGCCAAAACAATTTTAATGAATGCGGAAGGCATCCGAAACTAGAGAATTTTGCAATTTTAATTAACTGTATGTTTACTTTTGATGTATCCATATTTCTTGTTTTCTTGTTTATAACTTTATACTCGAAAATGTTGTTATCTTCCTGCATAATAGTGAATAAATTGTACAAGTTTCATAAATTCATCAAAAAACATTCCAAAGTTTTTTCTTTTGTCTTCTTACACAATAATTGGTTTACTAATTAAATATTCTAAAAGAGTATAAAGATAGACTAAACGTTGAACGAAGAAGCTCTAAAGTCTTGTTCACCGATAATACTGATAAACTCCGCATCTCGCCAGATATGCCTTTTCATTTACTCAACGACAAATCTATTTTAAATTTAAACATCGAACGACTGAACAAAGTCGTCTGAAAGAATAACAAATTTTCAGTTTCTTCTACAAATTTAATTTATTCTACAAATTCAGTTTATCCCAACCAACCTAATTAGTTTCTACCCGTAACAAATGTCAAGTCTGTCAAATAAAACCATAAAACCGGAAAGATATAATATCATTCGAATTTCCAGAAAGGTCTGCATCTGAAAGCTTTCCGCGCTTGCCCAAATACATCTCGCTCCATCTGTTCCCATTGCAATAACCATATCTCTCGCGACTGATTTATATCCACGAGAGGCACACGCGTGATCGTGAAAGCGATTTCTGACAGGACATCCGTGCCAGATGGAATGTTTACCGGTAAAAAAGCTGTTTTCCAGCTATCTTATCGCTTTATCGCGCTCCTCCATGTACTGACTGGCAATCAACGTTCCTCTTCCCAATTCCACCGTGCTCTTGCTTTCGACGATCGCGATTACCAACCTCCCTCTTCCCTCCCTTCGCTACCCAACGTTTCCCTCCATCCGTCTTCTATCATGTCCGATAACGTGTTTTTGGTCGATCATTCCATAGCGACGATATTTTGTTCGTCGGCTACCGGGCACATTGCAAACCGTTATTTCTCGGATCGATATCTCAGCGGTCGGACAGATTGGATGGGGTACTCGTGATTAAACGAGTCCCGAGAATTTTAACACCTTGCTGACCGGCGATTTTACTCGAAATGTTTTCCGTGCACTCAGCCATTTTTCCGCAAACCAATATGAAATGGAAATCATTTTCAACACGTTGAACGCCAAGTCGGCAGTCATTAACCCCTTGCCCTACGATTTATTTCTTAACTATGATCGACGTGACTTAACTATGATTATCCTTAATAATTTATTAGGAAAAGAACAAATTTTGTTGCTTCTTCTATTGACGCTTACTCTACGAAGGATAACAATTGATAATAGAAAAATATTATTTAATTTATATTTAAAAACAAATAAATAATACTCAGGTTTCTCGAAATCAATTTAAAATTTTTCACGAGTCTGACACAATATTGTAGGTCAAGAGGTTGAATTACTCGTATGACCAAAGCAATTTTCTTAACGAAATAGAAATTGAAAAGTCAAGAGTTTTCACAGTGATTGCTCTCTTAACCTTTGTGCATCTCCTAGGTTCTAGAAAAATCGGTTTGTTTGATATGTTGTCGAAAAAATTAATTTTCAAATCTATACAGAATGAATCATTAAAATGGTTTAACAAGAGAATTTCAGAAACTTTAAAATGAGAAAACGAACGCCAGTAATTTTGAAAACTGTGGTAGTTCTGATTCTAATATTAATAAGAAGAAAAATAATTTCTTTAACGGTAGTCTTTTGATACTCGAGGGAAGCCTTGTAATGAGAAAACTGTACGTAACGTAACAGAAGAGAATAAAATAAAAAGGAAATAAGATATAGTATGAAAGAGAGAGAAAAATTACAAAAATATTTTAAAAAATGCGGAAACAGAAAAGTGTGGAATGAAAATTACGCTGAACAAAAGCGAGGAAACTAAATAAGTAGACAACGTATGTTAAAGCGAAATTAAAAATGAGAAATAAATGTATTAAAGCAAAATTAAGAGAGATAAAATTAGTGTATTCCTTAAAAAACACACAATAAGGAAACAATGAAAATGGGTATAAAGTCATAAAGCAATTATGAGCCTGTCTCTAAATTAGAGTCAATATTGAGAATTACTTACTGAAGTGCGTTAAAAAAGCAAGCAACAATATAAATGCCCAAGGTGTAAAGATTAACATGAATTTCCAAACAATTTATGATATTATGTTTACTTAACAAATTACGATAGTATCCGACACACGTGCACTAAGTCCTTATTCCTACGAATTTTAATTAATCGAATAAAATTTAATGAGCAGAAAAATTGCATGACACGACAGGCGATCATTTAAAATTTTCCATATAAATAAAGGATTTGCAATTATTCTACCGTTACGTAAAGATATTAAACTTACAATTACACGTGAAATTAAAGAAAAATAATTACAACAATATATTAGAGGTTCCTCAAGTTTAAACACCATCAAATTCAGAAGTTTATCGGCACGCATGCAATTATACTGTGCACAATCATAATGAAAATTCCAAATGATATAACCATATTCGAACGAAGTTGAAATTATAGTTATGTAAACTATTATCAAAGCGAATATATTTTCAAACTGAAGTAATACTTTAAAGGTACACCCAAGAATGTTAAATACTTCTAGCATTAGATCATAATAACATTTTCCCACATTATGTAACACGTGGCTGAATTGGAACAGTCTTTTAATTTTACACCACAAATCCGACCCACGTAAGTCATCTTAAAGTGGCACTGCATCATCTTAGCTATTAATTTCAGCAATTTTCCAGTGAATAGTAATTATAAGTTCACGTATAAACTTGTTAATCGCACGAACATCCGATAAATCGAAGAGATATACTCGACAGGATACTAGAAGAAAATAAGAGAGAAAATAGACTCCATCAAGAAACGAGAGTTCATGGAGCAGTGGCTTATTAAGCGTTAATAACCAAAAGGAAACACGACGAGAGCTCGAAACCGGTGCCAGTGACAGTGAACGATACAAACATAATTAATAAGCAACGAACGAACACGCTCGTCCGCGTTTTTCTGAATAATCACGATTACGACTTCCGATCTTAACTATCTTCGAAAGCAGGAAGCTGTAACCTCGATGCTGTATCCTGTCTAGAAGCCGCGCGAGCGACCCGATTTCCATTTCGTCTCGCACTGCGGAGAATCGAAACGATCCAGAGAAATGAACCGTGGATCCTGGTAGATTCCGTGTTTAACTCTTTGCGATCAGAAGTGTTCTCGATGATTTGATCAAAAATGTGCAACATGGTTACTTTACACAATTAAAATTCAATATTTTACTAACACTAAAACTACCGAGCAATTAGAGTGACGTATTTCCAATTTGTTATAAAAATTGGAACAATATATTTTCTGGGGATCTAAATCTAGGGATCTGCTAGTTTTGTATCAATACAAATACACAGATTGAATTTAAAATCTCTCGCAAAAATGCCTTCATGATGTAAGTATTTGCACAATGAAACTTCTGAAGTGGGTCAATTTGACTTGTCTGGTAGTTTTAGTGTTAATCTATTTGAGAACATTTGAGAAACACGAAATTGCATAATTGCAAGTATAATATTACTAACAAATATTGACAAAATTATTAACATACATAGCTATTGGAATGAAATTTAATCCAGTCTCTTTGAACACAAGACCGCAAATGGTTAATCTGTTCCCGGGCATATTAAATTGAAGTCATAAATACCAAATAGAACGCGAATATATTTTTCATGTAACGATTAAGTATGTTCGATTTTGTAAAAAAAACATTCTTTACGAATGTTTGGAACAAAAGATGATTAGAGCTGTATTGTTCCCATTTGGTTATTACAGACTTCTATCATTGCCTCATCCGCGAGCAAGACTATATTTATATACGCTAATTATTTTTCACACGTCATATTACGAAATTCAATGCACTTGCTCGGTTTCTCTGATAATCTTTGCCCCAACGATCCGCGGCAGTCGAGTTATTGGTGGCAACCGTCGGGGAAGTCGATGGTAATCTGTGACGCTGCGAGAATTATACGTTTCTCTCCGCGGAGGACGAGTTTTCCCGAGTGTCGCGATAATCGCATTCCAATTTATTACTCACAGACCGCGAAATTACGCTCGGTTGGGGACGTGCAGGCCACGCGATACATATTACGATCCTCGAAAACAACCACGGTGACAAACACGTATCAACGTTAGAGATCAAATAGCGGTGCAATATTAATTCCATCGCGTGCGATGTTAACCCCCTGCCCTATGATTTGTTTCTTAATTATAATAGATATAACTACTATATCGTTAATAATCTAATAGGGAAAAAAACAATTTTGATGCTTATTCTATGCCTATGTTTACTCCAAAGGTTAACGATTGATAATAGAAAACTAACGTTTAATTTATATTTCTTAAAATTTAAGTAACACTTTGATTTGTCAAATTTAGCTTAAAATTTTCGTTACGTGTCTAACGCGATATTGTAGAACAAGGGCTTATGGGCCAGATACACGTTGAAACACGTGACGATGCAGAAATCGCAACAAGTGATGCGTTTCAGTCTTCTAAAGTTTCATGAATACATGTGAAAAGTAAAAAGGCTCAAACCCATCGCTTGCAGCGATACTGCATCGCAGCATGTTTCAATGTGTATCGCAGAGGGGAGGGGCTTTAATATCGAAGGTTTGTTGCCTCAAATTCAGGAAGGAGAAGTTTACGTAATGCTTACTATCGATATCCGTTATCGTAGCTGTTGTTAATTTCTACCATGAGATGAATCAATTAAATACTTGCACAAAAAGTAGAGTGGAACTGTGAAATTATAGAAAATTGTAAATGAACAAGAGTACCTTGCATGAAATAAACGAGATATCATACTTTGTTTATAGAATGTTTTACTCCTTGTCCTATAATTTCTTTCAAAATTGTGCTGGATAGAACTACTTTATCATTAATAATTTAGTATGAACACAAAATTCGATGCTTATTCTTTGTACACGTTTACTATAAAGATTGAAGAGTGATATAGACATTTAGACATGACAAATTTGATTGAAAATTTTTGTCACGAGTCGAACTCGATATGATAGAGAAGGGGTTAATATGTTCGGTGTTGATACATTTCCTATGACACCCTATAGAAATTGCAACCAAATTACATTTGATAACTTATATCAAAAATACAAAATGTTTTTTAATAAAACATTCCGAATTGAAGAGAGTAAATTTATGAAGGCTATATTTACGCGATTATTTCTTTAATTAACATAATCAATTTCTTGCTTCTTATACTCAATAAGTTCATTTCTCGTGAAACGATAAAATAACGCGTGACCCATTATTTCATACTCTTCATAATTTACGTTATCTGTCGTCGGATGAAAGTAGTCAGTAACGCGATTCAGCGATGAATCACGTCCCGAGCGCGTTGAAAAACGCTACACCAAATGAGAAGAAACGCTTCGACAATTCGACGAGATATTATCTCACAATTTTTACACAACGCTTCCGTTGAATCGAATGGTTTTAACAACATTTTTTAATCTCGAATCTTATTTAATTCCATGCACGGTTAATTATCGGCGGACACAGACAGAATGGGACGGTGGCAAATCAATTACCCGTACAAGATTACAATTTAATAACATCGAGCAAAGCAAACAAGTTCGCGTGGTTTCTCGCGTGAAAATTAACCCATAAAACCGAACGGACGTAATATGCTGGCTTAATAAAATTATCGATTTCATTGCGCAAAACGAAAGTGGTAATTGCAGGAGGCAGGGGAAAAGAACGAAGTGAAAAGCGTAACGGCAAAGTAAAGAGGAAGCGTAACAAAACGGAAGCGAGCACGAGAGTCGTGGATGAAAGAAGTTTCATCCGATAAATCTAAATAGAAAATTTACGTGCGAATGAATCGTTCGTTTCGTACACGCCGATCTAATCGGTTGAATTTATATCGGAGGTCTTAAACGACTCGTGAAATTATTATCGCTAATTGGAGCTCCGTTGACACGATACAACGCGTATAATTGGTCGTTTCGCGCTCATCCACGGTTACGCTAACAATGAAGTCCGTATCGAGAACGCTGGTGGCGTGCACGATCGTCAGCAAGGGAATTAAGAAGAAACAAACACTGTACACCGTGACGCACGAGAGCGAATTTACAGTTACACGATCCGTGATTTTTCTGACCTGTTATCGCGTTCTCCGTGCAGAAAAAGAACGGTCGGCGGCCATTACCGCGCAGTAGATAAACAGGGAAAAAACGAGCATGGTCGAAACAACGCTACTCACCATGATGGCGATCAGATGCCTGTAGTCGTACGGCAGCGGCCCGTCACCCCTCAAGATGAAATTTTGTGTACGAAGGAAGTGTTCCAAGTACGAGGGATGCGAGGCCATCACTCTGGACACATGATCCAGCCTGTTGTTCTGGAGGAACGCATCCATCAACAGGACATGAGTCTGAAACGAAGCAAAAAGGGATTTACTGGTTAGAAAAAGGTGGACAAAGCGATAAAACGGGAGATTATATAATGCTCTACACTTAGGAGCTGCGTAAGGTTAACTGTGATTTATGACATATCGCGAATGAAGTTGGGTCGTTGTTAGCGTCTTGTTGGTAGGAAAAGAATTACACATTCGTTGTATATTTTTACTGCGAGAGTTTAATAACACTATAATAGTATTTCTTGTATTAACAGTCTTGAATTGAGGGGTATTCATATTTATTCAATTCAATATAAAACGCTGATCTCATTCTCAAGATTATAACGCATGTGATTAATGAATTCGTATTATTCTATTTATTATTTGTAAGACATGTCCTATGCTTTTCCTACTTTCATTTACGATAACTATTGTTGACAAGAATAATTAATTATCTGTAATTTTGCTTTTTTTCTCAAGGTACAAATGTAATCTTAAGTTCTAAGTATAATTATAAAAGTTATAAATGACATTTGACCCGTGCTTAAATTAATAAGTGCTTATATTGACAAAAACTAGTCGTTTCAAATAGCTTTCTAAATATTGACTGTTGCCATCAATGTAAGTAACATTATCGTTTCAGAATGCCTCAGAATTACTGATTACCGTACCCGCACACCTTCATACTGTTTCACCAGACGTTCAACTCTCCTCGGAAACGTCGAATCAGGTTTCGCTAATTACGATTAAAACTCACAAGATAAAGTTCACGTCTCAATAAGAAGCGAACTAAGGAAAACTTGATTATCACATTGTACGCCTCGCTTAACACCACACGACTTTCATTTGAAACATTTTTCCATGTCACGAGCAATTCCCAAGTATCTCAGCTTAGTAGAGTCAGGTGACTCAGTCAGCCCAATGTACAATTAAACAGACAAACAGCGTTCCTGCGTAGAGCGCATTATCAAATCAGCTCGAACGGAAAGTCTGACGTGTCTCACAGCAATGGCCCACGCGACACTCAGCTTCTAAATTGCTTTCACGTGTTTCCCCGTGTTTCTGTTCTCGGCGTACACCGTAAATTTCAACATTAGAAAGTTCACGTCACCGCGAACGATTTTCAACTGACCGGGATCATTCATTATAATAGTGTCCCTGAAATCGATTCAATAACAAGAGGGACTCGATTTAAGTAGGATATGTAGATACGATGATTAAATGGATCATATGAAGTGATATAAAATATATGTCAATAATATAACAAATATATACGGTGTGAAAGTATGCTTAAAAAGAGAGTAGCAGCTTCTCGTTTGACGAGGATGTTATTTCGTATTATAAACGATGTTAATAATGATAATGTTAATACATGTATCATATATGCATTGATTCCTTATTCCTTTGTACACAACTAAACGTAGATATAGTTCAATGTACGCATACTCAATAGAATTATAGTACTCAATTTTTTCGAAAATGACGTGCCAAATGAAAAATATGTTACTCCTTTCTTGCTACCCACTTTTACGGTCACACCTTATATATCAAATAATTCAATAAATCCAAGCAACATCTAGTAATACATTGAAGTGGTCGATTATCATTTGATTTGTTCATACATAAAAGTAATAATTCCCTTTTTTACTTTTCATTAACCCAAATTCTTTTACTTTTCATTGCCTCAAATTCTTCCATTTCTCATTTTACACACTTAATCGTTTTAGCAAACAAACAACTCATTTCTGAATCTCGCATCATAACTATACTCGCTGCTATTACGAGCACCGCGCCGCGTAACAACCGTAAACGGCGATCTCATAATCTCGTTAATGACACAATCGCCACCCCTCGCGGCCCGGAATCAAGCAGTAACCGGGTCACTCGGAAACGATGTTCGAAATCAGGTGTTTGCGTTGCATCATCGCGAGCCGGCTTGTCTTTGACGATACTGCGATACGCCGCGCTGTCCCGCCGTGGAAAGCCGTGAAACCGATAGACAAGCTGGCGTCGTAGCCGACTCGTCGTAGTAGTCGTTCTCGAAACGCAGATGCGTCCTCTCTAAACTTAGACTCTCGCATCGTGTCGACCCGCGACACCCTTTCGACGCTTGCTCGTTTTTGTTTTCGCCGACGTTGGGGAACACTCTTCTTCTTCTCTTTCGTTTTCGGACAGCTGTGACACGGTCTATTTAAACGATACTTTTTTCCCTTTTTCTGTACTCTTCTCCCACCCCAGTTCTTTTGGTAGTTTAAGAGGCGATGATTACTGTGTAGACACACGGATTCTCACGAGACGGAGTAATTGGAGTTGAAATGTTTCTTTGAAGCGATTTCTTTTTTATTGATAGATAACAAATGTTGAGTAATGATGGATGATCCTATGTTTATACTAAGTCTTTGTAAACGTTGGAACTACAGCAATAGTGACGCTAAACAGTTTGTTTATTATTCAACTGAATATTTCTATCGATGAGTGGTGAAGTAATATTAAAATCGATCACTTTTTATTTTCGAAATTTGTTCTTCAAAGTTTCCTATTTCTCTTATCTATAAATCTTGCGTTGCTTCAGTGGATAAGATTATTGACAACGATGATTGTATTCTGTATCTTTTATTGATTTTAGGCTTTTATTTGAAAATTAGAACATTAAGGATATTTTAAACTGCAGACATTTTTTTTTCTTTGACGTCACCGGTGCAATACGGCTTAACTCTGAAAGCTTGAATATTAATACCGCTTATTCTTAAACATTCAACTCATCACTTAACGTCAACCATTAAGTCATTATTGTACCCGACGTCGCGCATAGAAGCTGCTAAAATGCATGTCGCATTATTAACATACAATCGGTCTACTGATCCGGGTTTTCAACACTACTTAATGAGTCATAGGAAGAGCAAACATGCCGGCTCCGTAGGAAATCGTGGGGTGAAAAACTGCGAAGCACGTGAATGTAAATCGTTTAGGGGGTCAGAAATGAACTGCAAACGATCTTAAAGAAGACAATATCGTTTGTAACATCAACTGAAAACAATGAAGTAGTTCTACAATCTTTGCATAACCATGGTTCACTAGAAAATTCATATTTTCATTAATACAAAGAAGCCTAAGGATTAATCGATTGAAAAAAAGTAATAAACCAGCAACAAACTTTTCACCAGAACTCCCATACCACAATAATCCAACGATACCCCTGATTAAACTACAATCATTCATGTAAATATAAATCTTCATAGCCTAATTAACAAAATCTATCAAGGTACGAATGACAGAGAATACTCATTAAACTTTATCAAACTTCTTAATGCATTGAATTATGAAACATCATTTCTTTTATTTTATTTAACAGACAGACTCACTGCTTATCATGTATATATGCTATGCACAGATGAATAAAATCTGTAATTTACCTACAGTTCATCTCTATTCATACGAATTATTCTCCATCCGAGGAACGCGTGAACAGTCATCTCCAACAATAATCGTCATTCTCCGACGTATATAATACGACTAGCAACCAAGTTAACCCTAACAACCAAGAAAATCGCCGCAAAGCAGCGAAATTGTAAAACGCTTAATTCGAACAATTGCTTTTCAACGAGCGCTATCGCGTCCATCGCGGAGGCAGCGTTCGGACACGATTCCGCGTGCAAGTGCGAGGTACAATATTAATGTGAACAGTTGCCGGCCTTGCGGCGGGTCGATGACCCGCGCGTACAAATTAAACGGAAAAGGCATTTCACTCGGGGCTTTCGTCACGCGGGGAATATCAATTCGTGTCCGAGTCGCGTCGAACTCGATGACCACTCCGCAAAGATCGCAGAGGCTAGTCATTCGAGCAAAGCTGTGACTCATGAAATACTCAGGTCACCCATGAGATAGCCGTGTAAAGCAAAGTTACCAAAGTATTTCATGAGATACCCAGATAAAGTAAAATTACTCGAGTATCTCATAAGGTCTTATAACTAAAAACCACTAGAACTATTACTACTCTATCACCCACGTTCTATTTTCAAATAACTATTTTACTAGATCACCCAATAAGCTGATGCCATTTATTTTACTATTACATAGATAAAATGATATTTAATTAACAATATATAGTGACTATAAACAAATGTATTCAATAACAATATATTCAATAGTTTTAATAATTGGATTAAAACAAATATACCTTGTAACTTGGAAATTACAATGACGTTGAACTCTCTCGCCTGAGCGTATAAACGTTTAAGTCAATTAATTAATTTTATTCGCCACTTTGCTATGCAAAATGAAATAAATCGACAAGATGATCTGTCGCCCTCAAATACCTTCCATCGGCTAAGCTTAATAATTCAAGTTTAAAAAGTTTAATAATTCAAGTCCTCGTATCGCTCTGTGATTACAAAACGTAACAGGAGAAGTATAAACACGCCACGACACGAATTATGAGACAACTTAATATTTATATTATTTCATACAAAAATATGAATTACCGAATTACTAGGTAACGCAAGTTAAATACTCGAGTAAAACACCCAAAGAATTGTTGTATAACTGGGTATATACCTTTTCGAGTAACAAATTACCTGACAGGTCGAGTAGTAATAGTTCTAGTAATCACTTATGAGACCATATAAGATATTTGGGTATCCGGGTATTCGGTTATCTCATGAGACACCCGGGTAAGGAGACTACTGCTCTAGCCTCGAAGCGCTGGAAAGACTCTCTCCAATACGATCAAAAATATCGTAAGGACGGGGTGTGACGAAACCTTACAGGCGACCCGTGCCAGTTAATCTTGTCAGTGGAAAAGTTTCTCAAGCCTTCGACGAGCTTCGTGTTTGCTGCGAACGCGCCCTCGACGTGACTTCTTGATGCGTGCACGGTGATCATCGATTATCGACGGTGCGCTGTTAAATATTTCGTAAGGGTTGAATATGCGAAAAAATTGTTGCGAAAGTTTATTGGCTTAAAGGAGGATAAGATATATTCATATAGCATAGAGAAGATTCTTAAGTTCTTTTTTTAATTAAATAATATATTTCTTG